TAGATTCTAAATGTTTTGTTTGATTTTTGTCTACTACAAATGAAAAATATCAATGGTAAAATACCATTAAAAGAATACCTGACCTTCCAGCAATAGTTAAATGTTGATTCACAAAAAGTTTTTGTTATAGCTATGCTGATTTGAAAATTAAATAGCCAATTATTTTCTCCCGTCCTGTAATATTACTCAGTAGACATGGTAACATTATTATGCGAGCGGCGAAATAGTCCTCAACAAACGTTTCTTATGTACTTAACGACATAAGCAGCCGAATGCCGCTTAGGTAGTCCAATACATAAAATATGCCGTCGCTTCGTTTGTGTTATTTAAACTTTTAATTAAATCACAATCAGTTACTTTTTAGACATTACGGTGTGAAGACAAGTTCGTGATTTTTATTTTTTATTCTCGATTAGTTATTGATGACAGAAATGCATATGCTAAGAAATTGCTTAATAATATTCGGTGTTGCGGAGAGAAATGCCGTCGATTTACCTTGAAACTACATTATTGGTTTTTTCGATGACAGGCAGTCTTTGACGCCATAAGTATTAAGAAGAAACGCCAAAAGACAGCTAGCAAGAATGCTGAAATAAATTTAGAACAGCTGCCAGTTGTGTTAAAAAGGAGTTGGTAGGATCGGCCCTCGTCTGCATCCGCGCCCTATATGCGTCGTCCCCTTAACCCTTGACCTTGGTGTGTTTTAAGTTAGTGACAATGACTATCCCAAGTGCTGAAGTGCTATAACAGTGAAAGAATATTATCGCGTAATGGAACCGACCGACACCGATAAGCACGAGTTTTCTTAGTAAACGCTGATCTCATTGGAATGTCTAGGTATAGGTTATTTATTTAAAATAAAGATTTTATTTTTTTAACTTTATAATTACATTGAACTTACTTAATTCGAAATTTATTTTTGTCATTATTATGTATTATGTATCCGCTATAACATGATAATGTATCTCACTGATGTTGTGTTGAATAAATTTATCGGCGTTGTAAGATTTGTGAGTAAGTGTAACCTTCTAAAATGTTTGTACCTTCCACTGCAAGCAATTTAATGTTTAATTCAAAATCTCAATACTAAAAAATTATAAGTTACAGTGGACATTGTGAATATGTTTGACCAACTATAGGATTCTATCATTAATTCCATGTAAAAAATGTTTTGAAAAATAAACGTAGTAAAAATAGTGTGTTTGTGTTTTATTTCCTTATAATGAATACCTATCTTTAATCAAAAGAAAAGTCAATAACATATTAAGTAGGGCTCATGGACTACCAGTATAGCTATTTCGTGTCTATCTGTTGTGATAAAATCCGATAAATTTAAATAAATTTTTATGATAAGCACGTTGTTTCATAGCATCGCCAGGACCTGCAGCGCGATGCGGTCGTTGTCAGTTTGGTTGGCGAGGGGCGGGCGGAGGGGACCGATAAACTTGAGGAGCGGGAAGTGGGGTAATGACGTAACGAGGAGTGGAGGGAGAGGGGAATAAGTCGGGCGATCAGATGTATGCGTGTGTGAGTTTGGAGTGATAACACCGATGGGCGGTCAGTGACTTCTACAATCAGGGTTGTTACAGTTAATTAATTTTTTAATTTTTATCGTCAAAAAATGCTTAGATTCGTATTTTAAAATTATGCCATTTCATTCAAAGTCTGATATATATACACGGCTTTAAATGTTACTACATCTTTCTGTAACACCCTGTATACCTGTTTCGCGCTTACTATACAGCATGTCGTTGCAAACGCGAAAATAAATGAACACACGTCTAACGCTACTTGCCAGTAATCATAAAAAAATATAAACGTTAAAAAAATTCATAATTAAAAAAAAATATTATTCAAACTAATAAAGTAAAAGAGAAACAAAATTTGTAACATCCTATACAACTACAATTTTGTCATTCGTTGCCACAGCGTCGCATTACAAGCCTCTCCTTCTAACAGTATATTTTGTCTCTTAAATTCATTCAACCCATTCATATACTTTGTAACCTTTATGAATGAACTTTACGTTACAGTTTTATACGTAAGGGTGTTCTAAAATTGTTTGTTTTGGAAAATTCTTTAACTCGGTAAATGTTGATGTTTAAAGAATGTAAATGTTTAATACAATTTTAAAAAGTTATCCTCTATATGTGTGTTCATTTATTGTCGCGGTTATAACGACACGCTGTATATTCGTAATTTCGATTAGTCTCAATCGTTGTAGTGACATAATTATTATTATTTCAATACACGCCGTATCGAAATGTATCGATATGTGATGGTCGTGACCGTGAGAGCGCATCTTGTTTTTCTAAACTTAATTTATAACTAATGTACAGTTCCTTAATTATTTTAATAATTTAATTGCCTTTGGTATTTTTTACAGAAGCTAAGAATTATATAATTAGGAATTAATTATCCTTTACTGCAGTTTGAGTAACACTAATGATTATACATAATTATATAATTTGCAGTCTCATTACAGTTACGATTAAGCCTAATTTTAAATTTTAAAACTTCTATATTATAATCTCAAAAAAGACTTCATAAATTTTCATATCTATTCTATTCATTACTTTTACGTTGTTGTTCCGATTTAAAGTGTTTATTCTTAAAAAAAACTTAACTTTCCACCTTGCTTATATGTAATGAATAGTGATGTTTTACAATATTTGCAAATTAATTCTGGTTTTTTATGAAGAAAGTTATATCGCCTAAATGTAGCCAATGGAATGATGGAATGCCTCTGCATTGCAGGCTTGAATTCATTTCTAAAACATTGTATTATAGATTAGACGTTGGTTTTTTTAATAGTGTATTTGCTTTTCCAACTTCTGAAGATGCTAGAACACTATATGATATTGTCAAAAAATGTTAATGTCTTTTGGTTAAGTGTTTCTATAATGAGGTTATGTATGGTTATGGTGTTAGTATAATAAGGGTGATATTTACCAGTGTGTAAAAACCCTTATTAAAAATTTAAAAAAAAGAACACCATATTTGCAACCAATGCAGAGGTAAAATTTTACCTTTAGAGGTAAAATGATAACAAATCTTAATATGTTAGCTGTCAAAAATAAGTAATTACGCTAAATATTACGGTAATAATAAGTTTTTTCAAACTTTTTTATTTATGTTGTTCAGAGTAATCACCCATGGATTCGATGTCTCAGTGGTAGTTTATTGATGCCCTTCTTGTAAAAACCAGCTGGACGGGAGGCAACAAACTCTTCCAAGGCATTTTGTGCTGCCTCTCGGGAATTGAATTTTTTTCCCGCTAAAATCTTGTCCCAAATTTTGGAAAACGTAATAGTCGGTAGGTGCAAAATCTGGTGAGTATGGCGGATGAGGGAGAGCTTCCAACCCCAACTCTTGCTGCTTGGAGACTGTCTGTTGTGCAGTGTGGGGTTGCGCATTGTCGTGAAGGAGCAGCGAGTTTGACTAAAGCTGGTTGCAGATGTGCGAGCTGCCCCATCATCTTCAGTGCTTTACACATCTGTAGTAATGCTCATGCAGTTTTGTAAGAGCTGTGATTCGCACCGGCACTAGACCACCAAACAGTGAGAATGAATCGCCTAAGGGTGTAATTTGTTTAGGGTATTGCTTTAGTGCTGAACCAGGATCTAACCAACTTGCCGAGCGCTTCCGATTGTCGATTCGGTTAAAACTTCCTTCATTTCTGTGCCTGTTGAGCAGCGCGAGGTAGGTCTCGACACGTACGTTGCGCTCATGCGCTGTCGAACGTAAGTTCGTGGAGCACCCATCTATCAAGCTTTTTTACCTTGCCAATATACCAATACTGTTTTGATGCTAGCATCAAAAGCTACTGCTAGCTCGACTATCATCAGGTTCTACATACTCCTTTAATTCATCATTGTTGATGTGTCCAGACAACCACGATGCTCATTTTTCAAGTCAAAATTTCCAAAACGGAACTGCGTAAGATAATAACGAGTGGAGCATCCGTGCTCTTTATTCCGCTACAATGGAACTCATATTCCATAATAACAGGAATTTTTAAAGTATCCATTATGACCAAAAATGATCAAATGTAATGAAAATACAAAGCTAATCGATAACAAAAGACTGTCTTTGTAAAAAGAATTTCATGTATTTTTAATCAAAAGTTGAAATTCACAGCCAATCAAAAAAATTTTTTGTTGGAAATGGCCAGTACTGAAGGACGGCAATTTCATAGGCCTATTGTGTATCTCTACCTGACATAGTAAAATTGTAGATAGGCAACATTATCTAAAAGACATAACAAATTAAAAACTCTACAATTATTTTAGTTTGACTCAATTATTTAAATGTGTTTTCTACATATACAGCGTATCTTTGCCACCGCGACAATAAATGAACACACATATAACACTACTTGCCAATAATCATAAAAAAATATTAATGTTAAAAAAAATATTTTACAAACTAATTAAGTAAAAAAGAAACAAAATTTGTAACATCCTATATAACTACTATCTGAATGATTCATACATTCAGAGACTTTTTCATTCGTTGCCACAGCGCCGCATTACAAGCCTCTCCTTCTAACAGTATGTTTTGTCTCTTTTAAATTCATTTAACCCATTCATATGCTTTGTGACCGTTACAAATGAACTTTACATTAAAGTTTTATACGTAAGGATTTTCTAAAATTCTTTGTTTTGGAAAATTTGACAACTCGTTAAATATTGATGTTAAAGAATGTAAATCTTTAATACAATTTTATTTAAGTTATCCTCTATATGTGTGTTCATTTATTGTCACGATGGTAAAGACACGCTGTATAATATTTTTATATAATGCCTCTTTTCCTTACTTTTTTTCTATGTAGTGAAAAAATGATATTAAATAATGATATTAAATAATAATACATCTTTATATCTTTCCATTGTGAAGGAGTAGGTGATCTTTGTTAACATCTTCATTTAATTACTCCTTAAATATTTCAGCAACAAGCCACCATTTACTTAATTTACTTCATTTTACAGGTCATTTTATTTCTTTTTCTTTTTAACTGGAGCCTTGCCATTATTCTTTAAGTCCTTTTTCTGCATCTGGAATTGCACACCAATGAAAGTTATTAAAGTGAATGAGAATAAACTATGACATACCCTACATGGATGAATTTTAAAATACTTATAATTTGGTTTTATCATATTATTGGTTATTTAAGTTAAAAAGAGTAAAATAACATTTATAATTAAATATACCAGTTACCATGTTTAAGACATGCCTTGCAGTGTAACTTAGCTGAGCTTATTATAAACCAAAATTGATTTTCATTCAAGATGTCCAAGGGTATAAAAGCTATTTTTGAGTATTTTTATAGTAATATGAGTTGTAACTGAAGAGGCTCAAAAAATTACAGCATTACCATGTCAACCACCTGTTTTTTAATTTTAAATTATTTTAAAACATCTGACCTTTCCATAGCTGTCTAAGAAATGTCCCACATCATTATTGGTTTTCTTTTTATTTTTGCTGCTTTGAGGTAAAGTCTTTGATATCATGCGTTTCTTTTCTTCAATTTGTTTGAGTTTTTCCTGTTTCCGCTTCTGCATTAGCTCCTTGTAGTTTATATACTCTCTTTTAGGTGGTTTTGCACCTGAGATAATAAGGCATTAAAAAAGCTTAAAACCAATATCAATCATCAATTTATATCTAAGTGTAATAAATATGACAAAGAGTTATAAAAAAACAACTATAATTATATTATATGTACCTAAACTAACTGCTAAAGCAATTTTCGCTTCTTCTTTTTTGGTACCAACAAATCCAGACATCCCAAACTTTACAACTTCATGTCGAATTTTTTTAAGATCCAAATCCTTCCTTGATTGCGTAATCTGATTATTAAACTCAGATTTCGTTTCATTATCTAGGAATTGTTTCTTTTTTGGTTTATGCGATTCAAATTTAACAACTTGAAAGTTGTGTTCTGCATTTTTCAAAGCAAGGGCGGCTTTTGTTAATACAATTGACATTGGATCACGATAATTACTATACTAAAATTATTAACTTGTTTTAAATTAATTAGTTTTTAATTACAAGCGAAAAAGCTTTTCATGTTCTGCAGTTTTTTTTTGTTACGAGGTTATGAATATTATCATAAGTGTCATTGTGACTCACTACCAATAATGGGTCATTGTGACTAGTGACTACTGAAAAAACTGTCATAGTCATAGATTGTATAAAAAAAGATACAGAAAAGATATGTATGAGTATGACAGAAAAGTAATATTCTCGTGTAAAGTTTATCACATTAAAATTTTATTGTGATTTAAAATAACAAAGCCTCGGATCCTATAGAGCATTTTTGGAGCATGTACGCTTACCAGCTTCGTTGGAAAAATTTCACGGGTTAATTAATGACCCACGAACAAAGAAGAGACAAAGAAATTGGTAAATGCGCTCGTTAAAAGAAATGAAATAAATCATCGCGCTATTAATTTGAAGCCTCTCAGATCAAGTTCTGAAGCAGCCAGGCATACGAGGGTATCATTTGTAGACTCGTATCAGGGACCTTGCACGGAGTGCGCTGAGCCATGTATATGTTTAGTGAATATTATAGTACATGCAGGCAGGAACGGTAAGGAATCAGCTCGTTCAGGCCTATGTCGCCTCGTATAAGAGGTGGCGCATTGTTGGAGACGGCGGTGGGAGAGTTAAATTTTATAATCATTGTGCGTCAATGTATCTCTCGGATCATCTACCAATTTAACTAATTAACGATCCGAGAAGAAGCATGCATCTGAAATTGCGCAAATCTTTATTTTGTATGTATGGTTCGAAGCGGGATGGATTACCCAAGCTTTAACCAGCTGATTTGAATGGGAAGGTATTGATTCTTTTACAGTGTCTTATCGACGTTTCTTTAAAGAAGGTGGAGTTTTTTATTTTTAGATCGTAATGCAATTCGTAATGCTTTCCGCATATATCACGGGGTGCTGGTTGCTTGATAAAGAAATTGGATTACACATTTTTTAAAAGAACGTTTGACATGCATAACACGTGAAGAAAATGTTGGGTTCAAACTCACGACCCCCAGCGCCGTCGGCAACTGCGCCACTGTGTTATCGAAATCGATCACTTGAAGTGGTTTCAAGTGATTGTGTGTGAAGTGTGCTATAGTACTAATGAGCTGTTTGAATGAAAGTTTTTAATTTAACCAAACCATGTACCGTCTTCTCTGGCTGGTCTTCGATCCTTTACTTATTGAAACATTCACCTAGGAATCGTTCAAATCGGGCTCAGTATTAATCGAATGTGTCCACTTTTCGTTAACAGGGGTCGCCAAGGTGCAGTGGAACAGAAGGTGTCATCGTGCAGCATTGAGTGGTTTCTCCTGAATTTATATCAACGTAGTTGTAAAAGCCGCCCGGCTAACAGCCTAAAACAAAAAAAATATTTTTCATATCACCTGGTCATTAAGCTGGCAACATTGATATATGTCATTCATTTCATACTTCAAAGTTCAATTTGACAATGTTATGACTTGTGCATAGGTCAAAAATGTGAGGTATACTATTGACTGTAGCTAATAATAGGTCGCTATTTGTTTATTTTTCGCTTTGATATTTTACATTGCGGATGCGTTCGCGCCTTTGCTAAAAATAATGTTACCGATATTGAGTAGTTATATTTAGCACAGCAGGTAACGAAGCCAAGTGATACTGAAAGCCGCCTATATTTATTCTTTCGGTGTTCAGACAAAAATCCGCTAGCCGACCATTTACTTACATTCCTCCAACATTCAACAGTTCTTTTATACTTTGCTATGATGTTCAACACTTTTGATGTAATTTTTTCATAAAACTTTGGCGTAAGCCTTAAACTATAAAGACATGAAGAATAACTTTACTATGGAGATGGCTATAAAGGCTGGAGACATTTTACTAACAGAGAAACCTTTTGTTTATGTCTTGTCTTCTAAAGAAAAGGGAGTAAGATGTGACAACTGCTTACAAAAGTGAGTATGAACTTTTCAAAGTACTCCAGTATTTGAATAATTTTTACACAGCAATTTTTAAAAATTTCTTCTGCATCAATAAAAATGTATAATCAATTATTGACATACTGATTCTGTATTATTTTATCTTCTAAATTCTAAGTTTTGTGTTAAATCACAAAGCATTTTCAACATATTACATAATTGATGTGTTGTTCAGAAAGGGCATTTTTATATTTATCTGAAAGAGATAATCTAGGAAAAATATTATTGCATTGTCCGTTTCAATGTTATTATAATAAATAGTAATAATGACAGTCAGTTTTTGGATAATATCCTATTTTAAAATCTAAGTATTTACTATTGTTTCAGATTAAAGGTTCTCAAGTGTTCAGGATGCCAATTTGTGCATTATTGTGGGCGTTTATGCCAGAAGAATGCTTGGAATGAACATAAGGTTCTAGAAAGATACTTTTTTATATTTTAAAACCGATACAAAGTTGTCTAGAAAATAAATATAATTTGAATTTTTTTATCATATACAACTTGATTGTTGATTATTAATTCTTATAGTGTGTTAAGTGCTTACAAATTACTATTTAATGCTATAAAATCAGTTTTAAATTAAATGTCTTTGTCGATATTTAAATTACAAAGGCATTAAAATATTCTTTGTGTTCTTAATACTTAGTGAAGTTTACACTTTAAATGATAGTCTAGTTTGTGACACTTAAATTTATTCACACATAAAATTTTCTTCTAATTCTTTCAGTGGGAGTGTGCTAATTTAAAAAGAGTTGCTCCCAAAATTATTCCTGATGGTGCTAGAATGCTGGCAAAAATTATCAATAGACTGGGTAGAGGAGATGGCCACTCATATCGTGCTTATTATTCAACAATGTCGTTTCGAATGTGGAAAGATTTAATGTCACGTAAATATCACCTTTTATGACTCCAAATAGGGTGTTTTATTATCTATTGTTAACTATTTATTATTCCCTGTTTTAGATTATCCTGACTTGAAAAAGGATGTAAAAAGAATGGACCATTTCACATCACTTTGTGTAGTACTATTTGAGTTTCTACAAGACATATCGCTGCCAAATACTGTGGAACTTATGGGAATGTATGGAAGAGTATGTACAGAATCTATTAATTAATATATTATAACCAATTTATAGAGGTGAATACAATTTATATAAAGATTATTTAGACCTATTTTAATGATAAATAGATTTATATGTGTTGGGCCAAAATGTATTTAATCCATTGTAATGATGTATTTAATGGTGTTAGTAGGATGTAATAAAACCCGGATGCTCAGAATATCCTGAACATAATGTGTGTGATCTATAATATGCAAGCTAATTTTTGTTAATTATCACTTCCAGATGGTTATTAATAGTTTCACAATATTAGATATAGACATGAACTCCATTGGTACTGGTATATATTTAGCTTCGTCAATTATTGATCACAGCTGTAACCCTAATGCAGTGGCCACTTTTGACGGAAAGACGATCAACATCAGAGCTATAAAAGATATGCCTCTCTTAGATTGGAGACAGGTAATACAGAACATGTTTTATTACATGTAAACAATTTATTTTTCATTCCTATTAAATTATATACCGTTAATACTAATCTCTAAAATCTAGCTGCACTATAACACAGAATTAAACTTAATATACCTCTGAGAGTTTTCTAAATTGGTACTTTGTTAACCTGTTAACCAAAAGGTTTAGGCAATTAAGTAAAGTCAATCTATCAAGTCAGAAGCTATCACGGCTATAGAGTGCGCTAAAGAATTAACCACATATACACTTGATCGAAAATATCCTTCTTCGGCAGTCAAGGAAAAAAGTAGAATTGCCAAAAAGATACTGCTATTAAAATCCGAAATTGTGACCTTCACACTGTGTCTGTACGTTCACATGATGTATTAATTTTATTTTTTAGTGCGAGTCGCTGCATCTCTAAGGATGAAATTTAAAATGCGTAGATGAATTGTTGAAAAATTTTTCACTGCTCCCAGTATTCAAACTTGCGCTGCCTTCCTGTCTATTACTTTTATTGTTTTTTTTTTTAATTAACAGAAAATCGAATTGTTATTTTTCAGATTCGCATATCGTACATAGATCTGCTGAAGACGCCATACGATAGGCAAACGGAACTCCTCGAGAACTATTACTTCTTGTGCGAGTGTGACAGGTGCTTTGGTAAATGCTTTAGATGTGCATACTAATTCGTGATATCCTGTGCATGTATCCGAACGGACTTTGCTTTTGGTTTGCCTGCTTTCGAACTTTGCTATTGTATCGGTTATAATAGACCGACCTGTTTATATACTTTATTAACAAAAAAATATTTATCAAACCCAAATTTTTAAAACGGTATTTTCAGGACCGCCGTGGTAATCTATTTTTTTAATTCTGAACTCTTAACATTTCTACCTATGTTTATTTTTCCATTTCAAACTTTTCTTATTGTGGTTAAGCCACGACAAAGCTTGTGCTGTGTGCTCTCTACCAGAGAAGCTCCACGGCCTCAAAAGAGGAGGGTGTAAATTAATGTAGTATATACTTTCGTTTCCATCGTTATTGAGGTATTTAAAGGTCCGCCCTCCTTAAGGCCGTTGATGCACTTAAAAACCCTTTATTGTTGACCATCACGCGCACCGTTACTACCATAAGGGGAAACTATTGTTTGTTTGCTATCCGATTCAAATCGTCTTCTAGATGAGACGCAACTGAAAGTGTTGCACGCTGCGAAATGTCCAAATTCTAAATGCGACAATCCCGTCAAGATCCCGTGGAGGGATAGCTGCGAACTGGTAAGAAAGCCCTCGGCAGGCACACAAGACGATCAGTGCAATCAAAATGGCGACCCAACAAATGGACATTGCGATATCGACGCAACGAATAACATCGAAGCTGGCCCTAAAGATCTGGAATGCAGCGCGTGCGGCGCGAAATGTTCAGAGAAATATGTTGATGTGTTTAAAAAGGCCATGGAATTTACTGAGATGCATTTGCTGAACATGAAGGGTACTTCGGTGGCGTGTATCCTTTTTCCAGTATTGTCTGTGGTACGCAGGTCAACTACATTCCCAATAACCTTGAGGTTTGAATCACAAAAATAGCTTGTCTGTGGTACGCATACCCACAATTACCTGGAAGGTTGAATCGTCTTATTGCTCATCATCGTTACGGATCTTACGTGCAAAATTTTAGTATGGTTTAGAGCAGCCTGATTAAACTGAGCACTGTCTGTCAGTTGCTTGGTGCTAAAGTTTGAAAATTTGAAAATCTAAAACAGAGAGGTGCCTGAAAACGTACGATCTCAGTTAGTCGGATCTAATCTCGGCACCAATGATATTTTCACAAAGGCACAACTTTTAAATGTTTCAGCGCGTTTATTCGACTATTTTGCATCAACGACAAAAATGTTATTGACGCAAAATATCTCTATAATCTAAAATATATCTACTATAGTCTATTGTAAATTATGTATATAAACACTAATGACAATGTAAAATTGTTTATAAAAACATTAACCCTTATACTTTACGATAATCCTGCCTTGAAAAGGCGTTTCCTAAACGCACATTGAACAAGGAAAATTACCATATCCGGAAAAAATATTTGTTGAATTGATAGTCAATTCAACAAATATTTCAGCCGTGTAGGATTCATAACTACGACCTGAGAAAGCAAAATCAAGTGCTTAGCAAGTGTGCCAGTCGAATCATAAACTAAAGCTTATACATCAGAATAACACATAGGCTATAATTTATATGTATACATATTTTCATATTTGTCGTTCTGTCTGAATGTACGTCTTCAGCCTATTCTACGCAGACGTAGTTGCGGGCAGCAGCTAATATATTTTTATTATTTATTATTTTATAAAGTCCCTGTTACTAAATACCTACCATGTTCCGCTTCTTCATATAACCCTCTTAATCACTAATTTGGAAAACAAATTGGGCGCTTTTCTTAACCAACAAAACTCAGACGTCGACGTTTGCAAGTTTTGTCTGGAGAAGCAAGAGGGCGTTCTACATCCGTTGAACGTAATGCACGCGCAGACATTAGACCACGCCTTCGACGCGCTTATTCAGGTGCAGTTATGGGAGACAGCTTGCGTTTATGCGGAGAGACTAATCCCTTGCTTTAGGTGAGTTTATTATATATTTATTTTCTATGTTTTATTGTGAGTACCACGATAAAATAAAACAAAAAATTAACAAAAAATAGTAATAGCTCTTATTATTGTATGACTGGGTCGGCTAGTCTATGGATGCACCACGGCCACTTTTGGATTTCGTTAAGTGGCGGAGCTAATTCCTGCCCACATTTTTCGTGAGCGCAGTTACCATTTAATGTAAGGTAACATTCTTCAATTAATAATAGATTTCTGATTATAAGGTAACGTATTGTAATAATGGTAGCAGATTGCCTTCAATGATGTTCATGAAAACTTGAATGAAGTGTGAAGATATTCCATTTCTCTAATAAATATGTTTATATATTTCGAATACATAAAATGTAAGTTTTAAAAATTATTAAATATATTTCGAATTATTATTACAGATTCTATTATGGAGAAAGACACCCACTGGTAGGACTGCTGCACTTGAAATATGGTAAAATATTGTTATATAAAATGGATTTGCCAAAAGCCTTGGAACAGTTGAAGATGTCTGAAAAAATTTTGAAGATCACACATGGTGATAGACACCCATTGTATAAGGAACAGTTACTGCCTTTATTAAGTCAAGCTATGTTGGAATGTTAGTTGAATAAATTCATGGATGTGTTATTAGCTGTTATAATGAAACCTTACTTTGTCAATTAATTTTCAGTACAGTAAAGATTATGGTTGTTACAAGGCATCAAGTTAAAGTATAAACAAATCTATTATTACTTTTTTTCTTTACCTAAAGTCTACTTTTCGAATGTTACACTTCTCAATGTTTTACAGTTTGTCGGCTAAATATCGAAGTTGTGGTTGAAGTATCAAATCATTTATAATAAAGTCTGTTATATATCTCATCATAGCCTGCGTTAGGAATTAGCCCCCAACATCGTTGTGGTCGTTCGAGCCGGACTTTGATAGCCAGACAGACTGAAAAAAATTGTTCGATTCACTGTTGAAGCAAACAATAGATAAAAATATATGTTTTTTTTTTATAAACAATTTATCACCGATCAATAGTGTTGAAAACACAGTGATTGTAAAACACATCAATAGTGTGTTGACACACATTCACGCGTATCGTCCATCATAACTTTTTCACAAGATTTATTTCATAACGGTATAAAAAGAATAGCGTAATTAAAGCAAAAAGGAAAAATACGACAAGTGTTTGTCAGATCTTAAATTTAAATTTTTTTTTGTTTTGTAATCTAAACAAATTAAAAATATTAGGAAAATTATAACAATTTAAATATACTAATAAATCGAAGATATATTGCTATGTGTATATCATATGAGATCCATTGAATTTGGATAATTTTAGATTCGTACTTGGTTCAGCCAAGACACGAAAGTATTTTTATTGTAAAATTTGTGGCACCGTGTATAAGACACGGTCACGGTGTTAAAAACGACGAGTACGCAACTCTACATTAAAATATAATTAAAATATTCAAACTTCTTATCCAATTTTTAAAAAATGCGCAATCGAATTGATATTTGAATCCCTCTGGGTTTTACTAGTACCTGGAGGATCGAGCTTTGCTCGGTTATTTTTTGGGTGAATCATGTATTTTGGAAATAAAAAAATATAAAATAAAGTAAATGATCTGGTATAGAAAAGAAAAAAAGTAAAAAAAATAAGTGTGTAAATGATCGTGATACGAACCGCGGCCGTCTGTTTTGTGCCGCCCGATTACGGACCGAGCTATTACAACATTTTTTTTGCGGCGAAATTTACTGCCAAAAGAATGATATTTTTCATTCCCTGAAAACAGGGATAAAAGGACATTTTCTAAAAATGAAACCTAGCTAGATCGATTTTTTGCCCCCGAATCTACGCACATACTAAATTTCTTGAAAATCGCTGGAGCCGTTTCCGAAATAAGGATAAGAAAAGATTAAAAGGAATTATTATTGGTTGATGGTATTAAAAAAGAAAGACAAATCATTTAAATGACGTTATGTATGCACACTAGAGCAAAAAGCATTCATTTTTGTAGAAGTATAAAATTTCCAAACAATTTGTGGAAAATTCAAATAACTTATGTTTATTGTACATTATTTGTTTTAAAAAAAAGGTAAAGTAACAGCCTATACATGTCCCACTGCTGGGCAAAGGCCTCCTCTTTACAGAGGGTATCAGGGCATAGTCCACCACGCTGCCCCACTGCGGATTGGCGGACTTCACATATCTTCGAAATATATTTTTTTTGTTATTATTTCGAAACTATGCAGGTTTCCTCACGATGTTTTCCTTTACCGCGGAGCACGTGATAAGTCAGCACTTAAAGTTAAAAACTTCATTGGTGCCGGCACCGGGGATCGAACTCGGGTTGCTCGAGTATATTGAATTAAAGGCGAGCGCCCGGACACTGAGCTATCACGGCTCTATTATTTGTTTTGAACATCAAAAATAATGAGATCTCTAAAACATTAAATAAATATGTTATTAATAATTTAATAATATATTGTAAACCGCCGTTATGTTCAAAATAAGTGTATATATTTTGATATTGCAACCCTATTAGTGATGTACATCTGACTTAACGTATATTGTTAATCGATATGAATCATCATACATCGATTCCAGATTAAAATTTTAAAAGAAAAATTATTCCTGAATACCGAATGGCTTATATAGTATAAGTAGTATAAGTTTTAGCTAATATCATATTATATACAACATAAAGTAAATGCTCATGGAATATACTTATATATTTAAGTCGTGCCATGGGGGTAATAATAATTTCTGATGTAACATTATTTGTATTCCATTGGAATTTTGGATATAGATTTTTACTACCATATTCAATACAAATATCATTATTATTTTATTTGTCAATAAAATTTGAAACCCAAATTTTCAAAAATAACTAAACATATTTTTATTTTTCAGATAAAATAAAAATGATGTAGTAATATACATTCTGTTATACATAAACAAGTAATATTAACCTAACTAACCTAACTATTTTAAGTTAAATGGAATGACATTTCGAGTACGTTATTCAAAAAATTCTCGCATAGGAAAATAATAGACAATAGACATCACTACACAGCGTTTATTTATGCTGCGAAGTGTTTCAAATTTCTATTTGAAATTATGTAGAGAAAAGTCTAAATTTAAATCATTTGTGTACATTTATCGATTGCAACAAATACTAAAATAGTTGTTTCAAGCGCTAATGGTGTTTGTGATTTAAACTAACGAGTAGACATTTGATAATCAATTGCGCTGCTGCGCTATCGGGCATGTCAAATTTAGTCAAATGGTTCTTAGCAGTCGGAAGGTGTAGTAGTCTTACGGAATATATCCGAGTGCGTGAATAACAAATCGATAACATGGTCCGTTGACGTTCTACCCACAATTGGACAAACATTCTAGTCCTCTATTTTATCAGTTTACCTGCAATTTTCGATACAACAGCTGGACTCTTAGCAAAATGTTTAGTAAACCGTACGAAAAAAGGTTGGTGCAGCAGTGCAGTCCAGTCAGCAAAAAAGAAACTATGACTGTTCGGCCTGAGGTGATGGACAGGTTTATTCCTTGTCGTCCTGAAAATAATTGGCAGACCAGCTTTCAAGGTAAGTGTTGATAATTTACCTTTACAGATTTAAAATTTCAATACAGTGGGTACTAATTAATAAATAGAGGAATTTTTTTCACTTTTCAACCACCATACAAAATTTATTTTGTTATCCATTAAAATATCTATGAAACATATGATCGTATGATCTTTACAATATTTATAGTACATACACAAAATGTTTTAAACTACTAATAATACTTGTAATGTTCTTCATAATAATTTTTTTTAATTTTACTCTGAAGAGATTAAGAACTTTCAAGATATTAAATTCTCTTTAATTGTAATTTGACTAACGAACTTATCATTGGTTCGAAGACATATTTTTCCCTTTAATTTTCTTATTCCATTCCATTTCATAAATATTTTTTGCTCTTATAATGTTAATCAATGATTTAGTACAAAGATTTGAAAACAATATAATTTATTAACATAGGTAATGTGAAAATATAAAATATTTCTTTTTATTTATTAATTATTACTGATTAAATTATGCAATAAATAGCAAATCAGTGTCATTAATTTTTATTTACTCATATTTAACATTTCTTATATGTATTAAATTCTTATGTTCTATATTCTATGTTCTATAATAATCTAAGTAACAATTTCCATGAATTGCAAAGTTTAATTCAAAATGTATGTACCTATATTTCTCATAACAGTACACATGCAAAGATCATATTGTATTATTTGTATTAAAAATTATACATGATTTCCCCATACTATTAAGGTATTTAAGTTAAATGTCCACATTTATGCAAATTTATACATGCGGTAAAAATAAATTTCCTTAATTATATCTTTAGTTGGGAACCTTTATTCAGATACTTATATAGGTATTTAAATATTATTTTGCACCAAAGATTCATTAAATTGAAACATCTATGCCAATGTCTGGATTTCAAACTTGCAATGTAGTGTATGATTGTCGCAATTACTCCACATTTGTTGCACCAATATGTGATTAAACTTAAAAATCTTTTTGTCAAGTATGTATTTTAATTAAATAAAATATACATAACTTTTTTGTAAATAATAAACTTTATAGGAACAATTATATATTTTTTTCTATGTAATGAAAAAATGTTTCCAATTAAAAAAAATGTATTTTTACGGCCAAGTATATATGTTTATGAACTCTTTGGATATTAATGATCTTAATCTAACCTGTTAGAATTAGATACTATTATTATTTGTCTATTGAATTAAACATATTTACTTCTAATCTAATTTCTTAACGTTTTAGGACGGTTAAAATGATAAGTTAAAAAAACATTGCTTAATCTATTTCTCCACTTAAAACAATTATGCTATAATACTCTCTGTTACTTGGATTTCTTTTTTAAAGTGAAAAGTGTTCAACGTAGAAAGCGCTGTTTTATGTGAGATGGTGGCAAGCAAGCTGGCAGTTCACCTGATCTTCGGTGATAACGGTCATTCGACATTTTTTACCAGCCCTTAATAAAATTATGACTGTGTCTGCTATCTCACTCATAAGAAGAAATGCAGAGGTATAACATTTCCACTTCATGTTAGTCAGCTTTTGGTACTTAGCTGGATGTACGGGCCCATTTGTGCAACATTGAGGAATTGCGTGGCCCTACCATGTACAATCTGTATAATGTCAAGTAACTGCCACCCATGGACATGTACTAAGCCTGAGTCACATACTGCCAACAATTAAAGTGGACCTTGGTTACCTCAATGAGCAGAAAAAATTTGGAAGTAATAATAATAATAATAATATTTATTTACAGCAAAAGCACTACAAATTAGAAAAACAATATTGACTTATAAATAACATATACAAAACTTTGCTGAAGTACAATTTGCTGACACTTTTTGATGTATAAACGTAATATCTGTTGTCTCCTCACTAGGCAAGCCTGTATCTAGGAGGGGCATATTACTTCCACTTCACTCAGGTCTTCTGTGAAGCCTTCGTACTTTCTTTTTTATTTATGTGAAAAGATGCCAAGCAAGCAGGTGGTTCACCTGATGTTAAGTGAATACCGCTGCCCATGGACATTTGCTGCACCCGAGGTTTCCAGATATGTTGACAACCTTTTGAAAATTGGGCTCTGGCTACCTCACTCACCTGACGAAACACAAAAGTATTATACTTCCACTTTACGCCGGTCTTCTGTGAGGTTGTGATACTTACCCAGATGAGCCAGCCCATTTGGGCAACAGCTGAGGCTGCTGCGTGGACCTACCACAAAGACAGATATGTACATTTGTTAGACAGCAGAAGCTAAAAGTGAAGACTTTTGAGTCTATAGTCTATTATTTTGTTTCTCAATACTGTTTAACTTTTTTTATTTCAAACTTAATTCTTTCAAATAATATTGATAAAAATGGTAGTAAAAATCTTTAGAATAATTCAAATATTTTATGTTCTATTCATGAAGAAGTTGCACAATTGGCTATGTTAATTTTAGACTTTGCACAAGAAAACCAAATTATGATCTAAGAACTTCTTTGAATTATGATTTAATCTCCAATTATGGTAGCTTTTTACTTTGTAATGATTGTCTATCAATTAGTTCAATGGAATTGAAAATAGAAATATTGTGACCACATGTAGAGTAGGCAAAATTATTAGTCCAAAAGTTCTTGTGTTTTATGATTTTAACATTTCTTCGAAGTATCATGCAAAAACTTTTTAAATCCCATCAGTCGAACTTTGTTTCCTTACGAATATCGATACAGTAATCGTGTTCTACATGATTTCTTAGCAAAGAATTGGACGATACATATAAATATAAGTTTTTTCCTTTTTCGTTTTTTAAGATACGTGTATAAGGATCGGTAATACACGTCCAGACTAGTTCGCTGGTTGGTACGGACCGTGCATAAAAGCGCAAAAATACCTAGATACAGGATAACCATATATACCGTATATGCCCTAATGCCCTCTGTACCTTTATAGGCGATAGGCCTTTGCGTAGCAATGGGCCATAATATATAGCTTATTACTTTATAACTTAGTCAGTTATGAGATTGCAATCGACAAAATATTAAAAAGTATTTCTCCTCTGATGTTAATTTTTTTATTATCTAGATTTATTTATCCACGCTCTATTATATCGTTATATAGTTGTATATTAATGAGTCTTAAACAGAGATCATCACAAATGGACTGATTTAATATCATTTACATCACACACGACTTTTCCGAGTGCGGTCGTGACCGATTTAAATACGTCTAAAGTTTATTAACAGGCAAATATCTGTTTTTGCTTGCGCAGTTTACAAATACAATGTTAATATGAAACTTGTTTACTTTTTGTTAAAATAAATAAATGCGTTGTTTATTATATTAACAATGTATTTTATGTAGCACCGTGTTACATAAAATACTTCAGCGCGGCAAGGAAACCCATCACTGAACGCGTAGTGCCTATAAAAGAAAAAATTTTCTTCTTTGAAAAAATTCTTAAAAATTCAATAAATTTTTATTATTAACGATATAAAACTATGAAGAATTAAAGTCCTTTTTTCCTTAATGCTCCCACAACGGTAGACCTCGTATCATTTTATTTATATTGATAAAAATTATATTGATAAGCAAGGCACGATTTGTTCTTTATCTATTTTGTCGTTATTAAACTTAATAATGTGTAGAACTGGTGTGAAAACTTTGGCATACAATACAATTGTAAATGGTTCGTGGGAAATTTCACTGATGTTCATTCCTTTCGGCCAACCTACCGACGATTGTACACAAGCGAAATGCTTACCCATTAAAACTGAACGATACAATCGAAGGCAAGTTCTGTCTTCGAAAGATTAGTTCGCTAATGAGAAACGATACTAAATACTTCGTTAAAAGATAACAATCCCGGAAGCCGACGGCAACGGCCGCCATTGTGTTGGTGATAAAAAAGAAATATCAATCTCAACGCACACAACCTGTCATTACGGGCACCATTACAAAATTTCACAAATCATTGTCATTACATTGTAACTACGAGGCAGTAGCAAAAAGACAATAAGTTCGGCTTATTGACTTTTGATTGGTAACAGGCAATCTATGAAAACTTTTTTGTCCGAACCGTCGTCCTATTCATACCGCAGATGGAGCGTCGATCGGGCGAATTCTTTATTATTCGAAATTTTTATCTTAATCAGATTTGAATTTCGAATTATTCGGGCGATTAAAAAAAATGAGAACGATTTTTGGACGTGGCAAGTCGCGCAAGCGTAGTCGCGGTCAATAACTTTTCAGACGGGAAAATCACGTCGCGTTATTCACAGAGCGCGAGCTCTGGAGCGTGACGAATTCGGACCTTGGTGTGTTTTTTTTTTCTCTCCATACAGATAAACATTAGCTCGTTAAACCCTACTTAACATAACATTACGTGTAAAGTGCCTTCCACACTGGAGGCGACTGATTATGCAATCGCATAATGCAGTCGGAATATAACTAGTCAGTGCCACAGTTGTCTTTTTTCCGGGCTTCTTTAAGTTTGTTTTAAAATTTTAAGATAGTGATTAGAAAGAAAAAAATTAAAACGTGTTACCTTTCCCCCTAAACGATCGTTAATGCGCCACGTTTCGATTGTGTCCGATGGAATTTTAAATAAACCTTCACTCTTCGGTAATGATATTTTTCTCACCACATAAACATTCGTTGTGGTTTATGGGCCGTGCAAGCGATGGAAAAATTTAATATTATCCTGCCTCCGCTGTGATTACCGCAGCTCTTTTATCTTTTTTAATTGCATCTATTTATCTATGGTCAACGATTCACTCTCAACACGGAGCACCCCGCGATAAAGTTCACGGTACGTGGTCGCGCGCGGCACTTCGAAGATCCAGCCAAGGTTAATAGCCCTAGTGCTAACGTGGCGTCCCACGTAATGATTCCTAGCGGAATCGTGTATGGGGGCAATTAAATCAGGGCCGACTATGAAAAAGTGGGCGGGCGCATTTGCAATTCATACTAGCGCCGTCGCGCACGGCCGAGTTAAAGGGCCCTCGGTCGAGAAGCCGGGAGTGCAAAGAACCGTAAGTGACTCGTGAACGCTCTAGCGGCTCTTCTAGATGCGAAAATCCGGCGGCGACGCTCGGCGCATCTTTATGCTCGGCGCATCTTTGTGCTCGGCGCATCTTTTTGCTCGGCGCATGTTTTGCCAACAACGCTGGCCACTTCCTCAACGCACGGTCGTTGTCAGTGACGTATGGGCGGCTTGTTTGCAGTTCACTTATTATTAATGACTCCTTGCTCAGGCAATGGGTTCCTTCATCCTTAATCACTCTATTTTCGTAAAACGCTTGCTTGTTCAAAACAATATATGCCGATATGAAAGCAAATAATCATTTCTAAACACAAAAATAATATTCTAGGATACAGATCATCATTGGTGTACGAGAACATTTTTTTACGGTCTAATGTTATTCGTTTATGGTCCGCTTAAGTTATTACACCATGCCCTAAATTGATGACAGGCATAATCTTATTAGTTTAATTTTAATTCACTGATTATACGCAACAGTTTCGTGTTTCATTTTTTTTTTCTTTTCAAGCGTGCTCATTACCTTTTCTTGTTTGGTTTAACTTTAATTATGTAAATGTTGATGCATGTTTGAAAAGATATTGTGAAATATTTGAATACGCGTGGATGGCAAACCAGAGAATAGAAAATAATATCCTCTGTTTTCCCTTTATCCTCGTCGATTTTAAATGAAGCAATGTCGGCAGCACGATGTCTTCCGCATATCATTCCCTAGTGAGCCATTTCCCGTATAAAAAAAATATTATATGATTTCCAAGGTCTTGGTATTTTTTTTAATTTGAATCATTCTTTTGCTAATGAAAATTCTGCCTTAGATATAGGCTTATGTCGGTTGTTTCCTCCTGACCATAGATTTAAAACACTCGTCTAGAACGTTGTAAAAATGTCATACACTCGTCATTGCGTTTAAATGAACTATAATAAGATTAATAGCTGCATGATATCGTAGATTCGTCAGTGGGCTTAAAGTGGAATTCCTATAGATACGCGTTATATGTAAACCAAGGCAATAGCACATTTTCCAAGAGAAAAGTTATGATGTAACTCTCCGTCGAGTCAACTAGTTCTATGCAAACGCATACGTTGACCCCATGTTTTTGTGTGAAAGAAACAAACCAACAAACACAGTATTTGCATGGTTAAGTTAATTTGTTTTATTTAGTTTTCTTTTTTTTAAGTTTAATCTCTGTTTATATTATTTATGAAGTTAAGTTGTATTATTGACCTTTTTTTCTGTTCTCTTTTAATGCATGCTGTGTTACATCTAGGAGAATGCACTTTTGTGTTTTGAACAATTAGAAGCTTATGTGAAGTTGTGTTAAGGTTGTATTCAGTTTTGTAGACATAATAAAGAAAAAAACACGTGAACACGCGTGTGTCATAATATGTAGCCTGGTAGGCAACAACCAAGTTTACGTGAAAGCTATTAACAGTATAGCGACATCACGACATCAAAGCTATTTTATTTTACAAGATTAAACATTTTAACGGAAAACATTCGTTAATAATGTGTCTGAAAATGGTTTCTATAGTATTCATGAATTGTGGCTTCTTACAACTTTCTTTGTACTTTGACAGGAGTTCGTACAATTATAATGTTTTCCTGTTATACTTATTTACTCTAATGGAACTCTGGCGTGAAGAGGAAGTGTCATACTTCCGCGTTTCTGGTGAGTGAGGCAGTCAGGTCCCACTTTATTAAAAGGCGACAACGCATCTGCAACCCTACGGGTATTCCAAATATCCATGGACAGCGGTTATCACTTAACATCAGGTGAACTGCCAGTTCGCTTGCCACCTTCTCGCATAACAATAAGATAATATCAAACGGTATCGCGGTCCAAGAAAATGAAGCGACTTCATGAAAACACTAAAAAAACACAAGACTCGACTCGACTCATAAATAAAATTACCGCGCACCCTCCTAGTAGCCTTTCGCCTTCCGCGCATTCTATTTTATTCCGCGACGCTCGTGCGATATGACTGAGGTACAGTCACGTGCGAAATGCTCGAACCCGATAAAAAGCGCCCACGGCAAAGGGTACTACCCCTTACGCCGTCTCGATAAGGCTCAAAAGCCGCCGCCGCAGCTCGAAAGCCGGGGCGCCCCACGTAGCGTGAAGCGCCCGCGACTCCACTTCCCCAGTCCGGATCGGGGGCGACGACATCTCGCCAATCGATCGCGTAGGGCCCACCGCCCCCATCCCGCTGATTACTGCACTCCGTTCGCGAGTACGTCTATTCTGTTATTGTCTATGGTCCGGCGAGCCGGCGGCGTCGTGACGAAGTTGGATAGGGTTATGCAACGCGTGATAAAGCGTGGCACGTTCTAGAACCGTCTACTAGCGTATTGTAAGGGACAGACTAATTAGTGCTTTTCTGCAAAGTCAAAGTCAAAATTTCTTTATTCGATATAGGCTTATTTTCTACTAGACCTTATTTACTAGATCTGTCCAGAAAAGAACTGACAAGAAATTCTGCGGTCTTGTTATCTTTTTTTTTATTATTTAAGTACACAAAAGTATTTAAGTATACATTCGACATTATAATAGGCCCTTTCCATTAGCAAAGATATTGTCACATAGACGTTTAGAACCGACGACATTCATCATTGAACATTCACAAAAGAAGCCTATTAACTAATGTATTATTTTTTCGAATAACACGCCGCAATATAAACTAATTTTCCCTTTTTTGGTAATTTTTTTATTTCCTTTGTCTTGAACTTGGTAGGTGAAATAAGACGTTGGGCTTAAACCTACAATGCGAAATATCTTGAGCACGGCACCTACGGCGGGCAATAGACGCGGAGAAGGGCAACCGGCTAGGCCCGTTAGGTACAGATTCTATAGAGCCCACTCCGTACTACTTATACTGGATATACGCCAGCCAAGCGCATTCTAGGTCATATACAGCCCCGTGAAGTACTTGCCTTTAGGCCTATAGCAAGTAGTCGTAATTCTACATCAATAGCGTAAACATTATCAACTTTTAATTGATTTGGTCACATTACGCGAAAACATACTTTATTAACTACAATCACTGTTTCATTTTAGGGAAGACAACACGTAATTTCTGTCATTAAATGAAATGAAAAATATGTCACTCGCGCGATATTTTGATGTTGTCTTACATAACCACAGACTTCCGAGATATAATTAATTGTCCGTATTGTTTTGTTTTAATCGTATCTCTAATGGAAAGCGTTAAATTGGGAGCCTCTCGCGCAAAGCGGATCCGGATGAGCGACTTTGAAATGGTTTATTTTTCGATATTCCCCCTTTAATCCTGGACAATTTTGTCCGGCAGTTTAATTCGGCGCATTCGTTGAATTAAAAAGAAAGGAATTATGCACCGCGTCGGCATTTCGCTGGAATATTAGTAAAATTAAATTCAAGTTCAACTCCCGAGTAAGAAATGTAACGTGTACAAGTTGGGGAATTTATATAGTACCGCTCTTAATTGGACACAAAAGTTCCTTTCGGGTTTTTGCTACTTATTATCAACCGAATAAAATCGTACGCCATTTTTTTCTGCATTGCATCGCATTTTTGCTTTTATAGTTTCGTGCCGAAAACGAAAACCGCAATGTACCTATACTTTGTTATGAGTCTCTTATATATTCTTTCTTCATTTTATTCCATTAGCTACTCGTTTAACAAATTCAATTGTGACTAAAGAAGAAAACATTTCGTTAGACGACCTAATGTGTACCTGTTTGCAGTCCAACGCCCTTCGAATATTATTATACATAGTTGCGCGTTGCATTGGAGCGTGCGTCGCTCGTCGTTTTACATTTTCGTCTAGTTAGTCTCCAGTAAGCTCACCGACTCGAGTACATTCTATAATCACTAAGTAATTAACCACGAGGCGTGAAATAAACCACGCTAATTAAATAGTAAATCACGCAATGCGGGAGTGATTGCTAAGGTCGAGTGAGAAAGAAATGTTTATCATTACTAAAGTATTCCCCCCCCCCACATTTAGTTTCGTAATGCAACCTCAAACCGTAGTTAAGGACCATAGACCTTTGGGGCGGCGCGGGGCGATGCCCTCCGGGTGTGACGCGGGTCTAGTCCCCACGGGATTTCATCCAAGACGGCCATCTCTAATAGGAATACGCCGACTGCAACGCTGCCTTTATAAACTAGCTCGCCTCGTTTTCATAATTGCATATTCAGTGCACGCCAGATTTGTTTTCATCATAAAATGGTATCTGCACTCACGCCCGGTTTCTGAAACACTGATCATCGTAGACGTCAACAAGCTGTCTTTAAATGTCATAAATGTCATTTGAGATTGTGTCAATGTTATTTGAGTTGCCAAAAGGATTGTTAAACTCCTTGAATTGATCATTCTGGACATTAAGAAGATAATTCTGATCAATTCAGAGAGATTAGTTGACTTATACTACGATCAGTGTTTCAGAAACCGGGCATTAGTCTCCCGTATCTCGTCTGAAATCTATCAATGCGGCCTCTGTTTACGAATTCTCCGTCTAGTTTTGTCATACCGCATCCGGGGGATCATTTTCGCAACAAAAACCTTAAAATGTCCGACTCCAGAATCAGCTTTTTTTTCGCATTGTGTTAAAAAAATTCCCGTCAATTATAACTGTTAAGACAATTTATAAAACTGGAATCGACTTTACTTTTAAAGGATACTGCCAAAAAAAAACGAAAGAATTAAAATTGCAGCTATCTTAAAACAATTTCGTGGGTCATAACATAAAGTTTGCAATATAAATGTTCGGCGCAAAAAACATTTTTGGTGGATCAAAATTTTCCGCATGAAACGTGGAAGAAACTATACGTTTTTAAAAAATCACAAGTTGCATCCAAACGGAACCGGTTCTCGATAGACTGTAGACAATGGACTTGTCATTAAATGAACCTAAGATTGATCTAACGATTTATTTCTCTTTTTCTAACTTCGGAGTCCATTGTACTTTTTTTAATTGCTTGTATCGAATGAGCTACGTGTAATCTACGATTTGCGGTCACCTTTTGAATTCATTGGTAAGGATGCAAGAGCAATATAATTTAGATGGTTTATAAACGTCAATGGCGAATAAAGGATATGGATCAAACAAGTTCGATAGAAACTGCAAATACGAGCCCTACCTTAGGCCTAACTTTCTCTAGACCGTTTAACACGACAAATGCGTGTACCGGTTAGGTACTAAGACTGTTAAAGTAAAAATCTTACTGTTTTAATGGATATAAGATTAATGCTCGGTATTTGTCATCATACTTGTAAAAACTTGAAGCTATACGGGGTTGTTTAAACTGAGATGTGCGAAAGAAATTTGGTCAGAATGGATTCTATTTATTACGTTTTTATATTGAACTGCCTCACTTTATATTCTTTACTAGCTGTGCCGGCGACTTCGTCCGCGTGGAATTTAAAATAAAAAGAAAATCTAAAATAGCAGTAGCCTAAGTTACTCCTTATTACATCAGCTATCTATCTGTGAAAGTCCCGTCAAAACATGCTTTACTTTCAGAATACCTACGGAAAATATCAAAAAGTTTGTGTGATTTTTTCTTATAAAAACCAATTAATACTAACCTATCAATCTTTAACCAATCGATTAAAAGGATGTCAATACATTATGATCGAATTACGATTCCGATGCCTGTTCTGTTATTGGGTAAGGCCGGAACACGGGGCAGTCTGTCTGATGCCAAATTTCTTTCAAAGTGCATCGTTTTTGAACTACACTAATGAACGGACGCTCTTACAATATCCGCGCGTTAGGTATGGTAATTAGGATTGTGTTACACCAATCGCAAGGATCTCGGGTCAAATGCCAATGAAGTCAATTATGTCCCATTATTCGTGCACCCCCTTACGTCGATTAATTTCTTGCCGATGCTTTTTTTAATTTTCCGTAACTAAATTGATTTCGTCCCTTTTTTAATACAATTATCCCTCAGCAGCAATACGGGTGGAATAGATAGTTGTGGTCCTTATATCGCGCGTTTCTCCATATAATTTGTGTTTCCCGTTTGTGCGTGTAAAGATGTTTAAGTAGATAGCATAAATATAAGCTCAAAGACTGTCCAGTCCATAGCTGGGGGTTCAGGCCGATAATCTAGTTAGGAGCCGTTTGCTTCGGCCTTTACAGATGCATCTGAACAAAGCCCACTCTGATATATTGCCGATGAAGGTGAGGAAATGTTATTTATATTTCAACTTATTATAATTGTGTACGTGTACACGCTTTTCTTTGAATTTTGCGTTTTTTTCGCAATGAAACTTTACTACACCAATTTTACTTTTGCTACAATTGGTTTCGGTATTAATTTCAGATGAACGTATGGTTTTATTTTGCACGAAAATTCTTCACATTTGCTTATACGCGAGTAGAACGTATGTATAACAACAGGACATCATGTACAATAAATAATGTACAATATACCTTACTAAATCATGTACAATATACCTTTAGGGGTTTTTATTTGTTCGTTAATAATTCACGTCATGAATATTTAACGCTGGGATCATTGCGAGCCATAAAAAGATGGAAATTAGTTTTTCCGGTCGGCTTTATGAAGTAATTACATAGTTTCCGGCGTCACATAAAGAGGTTTTATGCATACATCAACACAGCCTGTTTTGCTTAAAAGTATGTAATTAGTCCCATTACCTTCTTTTCTTTTAATAAAAAAATAGTGATATAAATGTAGCTTATGGCCGACTTATACGGAAGTGAGTAGTTGATTATTTTTTAACTAAATGTTTAAGTGATTTGATTGGGGTATTCCACACTTACTTCTTACTAAACTTTAGTCGATTTCTATAGATAGTTAGTAATTAAATTCGTTTAAAGTTAGATTTTGAATAAATAATAGGAATAATTGGCCATGGAAGCAAGATGGAAGGATGAGATATCTAAAACAAACCTAACACATCAACTAGACAATCCGTTAACTGTATTATTATATATACTAAATAATGCAAGTTCAAATTGTTGTGTTCCAATTACAATGTTTGCATTAGTGTAAACCGGAGAAATCGGTACACAAACTTTCGCTATTGATGCTAGTGATTTAATTGCATACGCTTTCTTACTTACTTCATTTTTGATACGTACGAGTTTTACATTTTATATGAAAATTTAAACTGCACTGTAACAACCCAAACAGTGCCATCTAAACTAATGGTCGTCAGGCTATTCATTCTATAGTAATATTCACTTTAATTAACTCTGTTTCATCAGAACATAACTCTATTGCCTTAATTGTACCCATGAAGTTGTTCACTATACAAATGCACAAACTATTGTCAGTATAAAGAGATACCTAGCAATATAGGCTTTAATGCTTCCGTCTTACGGGTCAATTAGAAGAATGCAGCATTCGCCCGTTTCTAAGAGAGTACTCGGAGCTTACACAAGTGCATTTCGTTAAGTTGTGCATACTAGCTAACTGCAAGATGATTAGACTCCGCAGTCCGATCGGACAACTTTCTAAGGCGTTTCCTGCGCATTAATAAGTTTTACTTGAAAATCGCTGTAAACCTTTGGTATTTTAATAAACTAACGGGGGATTCACCCGACTTGAACCTGCCGTCTGTGTTCAGAAGTTTCAGTTAAGTTCCAAGTTTCAGTTAGAAAAATTATTGGTTTGACTTCGAAAATGATTCTATGTGAGAAATATGAAAATTCTAAAACATGTGGCCACACCTATGCGATGGTATTCGAACCCGTTACCTACGTTCATGGGCACTAAAGCCATCACTGAAAACGTACTACTAATAACGACATCGGCCCAACACGATCTCAATTTTAAAAACTTTGAAACGTATGAACTATGTATATGTACTTATTTTTAGCATTTGCCGATAGATGGCGTTAGTTGTTCTTTTAGTTACTAGTTCTTCATTCGCGGCTTTAATTATATGCTTTAATAATAAAGCTTGCTCATAATGTTGATGACCAAAATAGCCTTTAATATTATTTTATATATTGATCTTTAGTAATCTAATATAGTGTACCTATTAATATTGTCATATTTGAACTGTTTTAAACGGGAGATAGCATCGTTATACTTTGTACAAACGAAATTTCCCTTAAAAAGTTGTTTATAGTTTTAAACGCTAAAGTTTGAAATATTAATCAACGTGCAATTAAATCGGATGTGTTGTGGCAATCGGAATAGACTTTAGGAATAAAGTCTTAAATATTCTTATGTGTCTATATAAGTACCAGGTAGAACCATTCTCATACGCCTTAAAGATTTTAGATTATCTTTTTCTCATATCAGATTAGTAATTAATTTACTAAAGATTAACATATAGCTTCTAGCAGTTTCTTAGTTTTATCGATTGCATCTAGGATATTTTAATGCCTGTCCCGTAGATTAACGATTTAAACATTGTAATAAGTTTCTTAATGTTCATTTATAATTAACGCGGGAGTTTTAATCGATAAAAGTTATGAAGTTAGGTATAGGACATTATTAGGAAATTCGATATAAGTCATGGTATATGAGTTGGGGACACGCTTGAAGTGAAGACGAAATTTGTACCGTGTAGGCTCTAGTTAAGGTTTATTTTTGAATAATTGCGGAGAATGATTGGACATATACTCGTAAATGGTATCAGATTTAATTGGTTCATATTTGAGTAACGAAATTTAGCTTTTTGGTGTGATTTTATATTGAAAGATGGTGACGGTGAACATTATAGGGCTGTATCGCTTCCGAAGAATTTTGCGAACATTAGACGACCCGATTGGCGTAGTGGGTAATAGACCTGTTTCCTGCGCCAGAGGGTGTAGGTTTAACATAGTGTTTTTCTAATTTCTGGGGTTTTATTTACAAAAAAAAAAGTATTTTTCAGTATGTTTTTTGGGTGTTGTTTATCAGCCTATTACCTATTATTATATATTACCTAGTGTCGATAGTACAAGCTTTGCTTAGTTTGGGACTAGATATCGTAATGTAAAATGTCTTGAAATATTTATTTGTTTATTCATCTTATTTCTTTATTTATCCTGAGAAGTTCCTGTGCCTGTATTTGGAAAATGCGTATAATGGACAAAGTGGAGTCTTGAATAGTTAGATCTGTCAGTCTGACTATAATACTAGCCAACACCTACTGACTAGCACTCTGACACTTTAGACTAAAAGACTAGTCAAAAACATTCTAAAATCACCATTTCACAAATTCTATTTCAATGGAGCTGATTTAAGGCAGCGAACTTCGTTAGTTAGAAATACACTTGAAGAGAACATGTCGGTGGTCAAATCACTCGAATGTACTAAGCCGCAGTTGATTTACTCGTCTTGTTACAAACATATATCATATTATATAATTTATTCGGACCTGTACAATCTATCGGTCGGACTGTAACGAGCGTGCATGATGCTGATTTATCTTGAGAGTTGAACGTTTGCCCGCCTCGTCAGACTGGCGAAGTCACTATGGCCACGCGGCATTACAGGCATTCGCCGTGCGTCATTGTAGACCTGGTTCGCTGCAGGCCGACTACCGGTTCCGGGACTAGGAGTTTTAGTGCCGACTTCGTGCGCGATCTGGGGTCATATCGAAAAGAGCGCGATGAGGACTAAAAGGATGTTTCGGGACATCTTTACACGAGTTGTCTAATCCCAATATAAGCAAAACTTTTGCTATGGGTTAATGTTTCTACTTAAGCGTATACTTCACACTGTTCGTTGGGGCTATGTTTCCGGATTTAGTCGTGTTCAATAAAAACTGTACATTAAGGGGTATTAGAGGTTATAAATGCGGAATATTCCAAAGGGTATTTTGTAATAATATTGTTTATACAGCTAATGAAACTGCTATCGTATAATTACTATCAAATGCGCTTCTGCCCCGGTTTTTTATTATAAGAATATGTTATTGTAATTATAATTCCTGACCTTCGCAACTGATATCTACATTGTGCTACTGCCCGCTCAATCTTAATTGAAAACAGTTTCTCTGCACACTGCATGTGTTCGTATTACGTAATGGTCACAAACTCTAACCTAGCCGACCTGATTTCTAGTGTAATGCATTGGCCTACATTCGTTGTCAACTACGCCATCCTCTATACGTGTACGAATTATTCTATAAGTCTATTGAATATTCCACCATTAAAAGATAAAGTAAATGGCAACTATGACGTCATATAATAATTATCTAATAATGAGTATTATATACTAAATTTCCCCTTTCGCGTTGTCGTTCCTTTAGCATTATACAAGTTAATTTTTTTTTAATTTTAGTATATAAACAGTGAATAGGGTGTTAATGAGCTAGAGAATTTATCATCTAATTACATCCCTACCTACAATCAGGTGAGATAGACAGTATATTTGGGTAATATTAAGTAAAACTAATTGTGCGTTTAAAATAAGTAAATGATTTTAAGTATTTGAACGCGGTGTTGCATTTTATCGCATCGCAAATATTCAAAACATGGTCCGCGATGCGATAGCTTTGCAACCTGCAGGACTAGATAACGCCAACGCGACCGTCCCACTGACATCTTGTTCAAATTGTTTGACTTCTGATAATGTATCATTATCGGACAATTGCGTTACCTACGATTTTTATTTCCTTTTCGTCTTTGCCACGCGCCCGTGTGCTGTACAGGCGGGCTTATGGGTGTGATAAATTGAATCTTAATGTAACATTTATGGATTGGTTTTAAGTTTGACTAAGTGATTGCACATCGCTACGAACGCAGTAAGGAACATTATTACCTACCTAAATTAGCGCGATATAAATAGAATTGTTCCTGGTACATGGACATTGAAACATAATCTTTAATACATAATTAATTTCTTGAGACAAATGTGATCAGCTAGCTCTTTGTATGTCATTTAGTCTCGTCAACTGTCACATAATCATCATCATCATCATCATATCAGCCGTTGGACGTCCACTGCTGAACATAGGCCTCCCCCATTGACTTCCACTTCGACCGGTCGTTAGCGGCTTGCATCCAACGCGTCCCTGCGATCTTGGCTAGGTCGTCCGTCCACCTTGTGGGAGGCCTTCCTACGCTGCGTTTGCCGTCACGTGGTCTCCACTCGAGAACCTTTTTGCCCCAACGGCCATCGGTTCTTCGAGCTATGTGCCCTGCCCACTGCCACTTCAGCCTGCTGACTCGCTCTGCTATGTCGGTAACTCTAGTTCTTCTACGGATCTCCTCATTTCTGATTCGATCTCGTAGAGAAACCCCAAGCATTACCCTTTCCATAGCGCGCTGTGCGACCGCGAGCTTCCTTATGAGGCCCATAGTGAGAGACCACGTCTCGGCACCGTAGGTCATCGCTGGTAGCACGCACTGGTTAAAGACTTTCGTCTTTAAGGACTGTGGTATTTTGGACGTAAAGACGCTGCGCAATTTCCCGAACGCAGCCCAGCCGAGCTGGATTCGTCGATTGACCTCCTTCTCGAAGTTGGATTTGCCTTGTTGGACCATTTGTCCCAGATAGACGTAGCTATCAACAACTTCGAGTGGCGAGCCTCCCAAAAATACGGGGGTGGGCGTCACATGGACATAACGTCACATAATGTATTTATAAATTTCGCGAGACGTGAGCTAACTCTACCTCCCTCATTGGTGGATAAGGCTGCATAATGCAATAGAATAGAGAAGTGAGGACGTCGATAGAAAATGTTAATTGTGTTTTCATTATAATACGGCGGCCACGTGGCCTGGTTACCGAGTCACGAGCCCTGGAATCGCCACAATATGCGTGCTCTTGGTTTCATATTCTGTTTGCGCATTTAAATATATTACAATACCGTAACCAGCGGTTAACATAATTTAACAGCTTCTAGAGAATCGTGGTTTATATTATACGCATTTATATTATGTATCTCTTGGACAAATCGAACTTAATATAGCTATCAAAAACTTGTCCGCAAATGACTAATACGGCTAGCGTAATGCTTTATTGAAATTTTCTGTATTTCGTTTATTTTTTCAAAAACTTTAGGCAAATGATTCATTCACCTTTTATAGTGCCACCTTCGTATATTTTTACCATTGCTTTTCAATATGTTTAGTTGTTGATTATAGTAACTTAATGAACCGGCTCGATCAGAGTATCACAGCCTGACGTTTGTATCCATACTTTTGGCGTTGAACACTTCTGATTGTCAAGGCCCTCGCAATCTCAATTGCGTTGCAGGTCCATAGACGACGGGAATCACTCACTCGCAGGGTTTCCACTTTCCCTTATAACAAAATGTATTTTTTTTACATCAGCGATTTAAACGTTATTAGTCTTTGAAGCGACGCGTGGTTCGCTCCACGACAAGACGTCGAGCGTGGCGTGTTCGTCAGCCGCGTGCCGGCTACCCATTTGCATACCCGAATGCATAATCGATTTAAATTTGTCCACTTTTTTTTTCTCCACATTAATAATAATTTTATCGCCTCACGCGGTCTAATCAAACTGGGTGTAACTTATCGACGAAGAGCTCGTTTATAATTTGCAATAAACAGTTTTTTTTTCCATCGAAACGTTATCTAAGCAAAATAAAAATAGAAAATATCAATCTTTTCGCAAAAAAAAAGTGCCGCATCACGAAAAACGAGTTGCGATGACGCGTTGGAGATGCCTGTGTTAAGACTGCTCAGAACCAATAAATCGATTTTGGACAGGTGTATTAATGTTCTGTGCCTCTATCTTTATTAAATTATCATTGGGCTAGTTAAAACTTTAGTTTAATTTTAGACGTAAGTATTCTGTATCACTTGGTTAAGAAGAACACTGAGTTTCTTGTCGATTTTTGTCTGGACTTATATGGTCTAAAATTTAAAATTGGTAAATTGTGATCTCCATTAAATCACGAAGCAAGCCTGATTGACTTTTTTAAAATATGCACTTCACACCTGTATTTTAAACACGGACACTAGAATTATTCTAATTATTCTGTCGCCTGTCGAATACGCTTAATACTGTCTTCACTATCATAATCAGCCTGTACGTAGTCTTTCAAGGTTCACACACAGAGACCAACCTTCGACTCTTCACAACCACTTGCTAGGTTCATAATATATCTTCTTGTTAAGTTACAAAAGACCTCTAGAAGGTGATGTTCCCCTTGTAATTTCATCGAGGAGAGATCGTGGTAAATTGTTTTTATAAATGGCACAATTCTTTCATTATGCTTGCATAAAACATTTTGCCGTGCGAAATTTCAAAATACCAAAAACATTTTTGTTATTAATTTTTGAAAATAACAATAAGTCCCAATATTTTTTTCTCTTTCTTTACACGACTTCTTGTAATCTTTATTAACATTGTGGTAATTTGCTCAACGCAACGATAAGTATGGATTTAAGATGATTTATTTAAGATTACGCGATTCAAACATTGCACCCGACTTGCGATGTGGATAATTTTTTCCTCGGCTGATCAAATATTCATTTCCAACCGCCTCCTTTGTGGCGGCGATTGCACATTCGAAACTGACAAATTAGCACTTTCGGCTACATCAGTGCAAGTGACGTTCGTCGTGCCGCGCCGCGTATTTTATATCGTTTTATAAGTTAAATTTTATCCAAAACGGGACCTAAAGGCGCGCGATTTTTTTTTTGTTTTATTACCCAAAAAGCTTCGCGGCGGCGCATTTATCATTTCTAGACTGACCGACGTTTTGAACTATGCATTTTTTTTTTCATAAATCGTGTTAGAAAAAATTTCTTAATTTATCGCCTCCATTGGCTTTATGGAAGTCGTTAACGGATGGATGCTATTACTGATTAATGTCCCGCTTCGCTTGGGTCGTCTAAGTTTTTAAGTAATAAGTAATTTACTTTATCGGGGTGCATGATTAAGTAAAGTATTGACCTCCCGTTGCTATGGCTGCGTGTGCGAATATCAAAGCTTCGCCTCGTCGAAGCTTAAGTAAGATTCAGATTTAGTAAGATTAGATTTAGTAAGACTGAGCGAGGTCGCTTTTATTGTTACACGAACAACCTGAATTGAAATTCCCATGCAATTAAAGTAAATCTTAATGATTTCTTGTGGTTCTTCTTTTTAAACGAATACAAAATTTCATTTAACTTATTTTCATGTCCCCCGTTGTCAGTGAAAGGGCATCCTTATGCTTATCTCTTATCCTTTAAACGAGATATAGATATTTATATATAATCGGAATCTCGGAAACGGCTCCAGCAATTTTCATGAAATTTAGTATGTGCGTAGATACGGGGGCGAAAAATCGATCTAGCTAGGTTTCATTTTTAGAAAATGCCCTTTTATCCCTGTTTTCAGGGAATGAAAAATATAATTCGAATATGACGGTAAATTTCGCCGCAAGAGAAAATGTCATAATAGCTCGGTCGGTAATCGGGCGGCCTTAAAACAGACGGCCGTGGTTCGCGTCACGATCATTTACACATTTATTTTTTTACTTTTTTCGATTCCAGATCATTGCTTTCTTTATTTTTAATTTTTTGTCGATTTGTTATTTTGTTATTTTTTTCCCTTTTTTTTTAAAAGTTCTTTCTTTTGTGAAAAACATCAGTTCATATTCTCTATTATTACGTTGGTAAGATCGAAGATATTATGCATATTTCATTACTCAGTATTTTGTATCTAAATGTAATTTCAAAAACACACGATTTACCAAAAAAACACCCGGTCCTCCGGGTACTAAGGATATTAAGCTCGCTCTTGTAAATCCTTACGTTCCTAACAAATAATAAATACATAATATATTTGTCGAGTTTCACTTAGATGCTAAGCATATTGCTCGTAGAACCGATAACTGATGAGGAAGACAGTTTCTCATTGCAGTCTCGGCTGTTGCACGAGTGGGCAGGCCCGTCCGGATAAGTACCACGACCTCACAGAAGACCAGCGTTAAATTGAAAGTACGACAAATACTTTCGCGTTTCGTCTGATGAGTGAGGTAGCCGGAGCCCAATTTTCAAAAGGTTGTCAACGCATCTGTTACCCTCGGGTGTACCATCAGGTGAACCGTCTGCTCGTTTGGCAAATTTTCACATAAAAAAAAATAAAAAAAAGTTTGCGGGGAGGGCTATGTTCAACAGCGGACTCGAACAGGCATAAAGGATGATGATGATTAACTATGACAATCAGACGTCCAAAAAATCCAACGACTCAGTCTGTCCCGTGCCCATGAACGCTGTAAAGTGTTCGAAAATTAAAAATATACGCGATAAATCCGTAAAATTATATACCTATATAAGTTTCATTTATGATAATTATGAACCTTAACTCATGAAGTTAAGCTAGTTTATCACAGCCGCCCTTGTGTTGACTTTAAGTGAATTTTCTAGCATAGAGTGCTTTAAAGCATAAAATTTTTACCGTGCAGTATTTCGTATATGCATTAAATTTAGAAGTAAGTAATGAATGAAATCATACATAATATAACGACGAACTTCCAGAGTGTTAGAGCCTTGCATTTGCTCCGAATGCGTCGACTCGGACATTGGGGCCAATTTGGGGTACGTTCCACGTGTAGGACTCATACCCACACCTACGTGAACTCCACGACCAGCCTTCAACCGATCAGCTGAGACGGATGATGTCACCGAAATATTTCGAATGTTTGCCAACAAATATCACGAGTTGATAATGATGTCCGTATTAAACGCCGGATACAATATTTGCATGTGTACACTTCACGCAATTAGGCATAATTATAGGTGGTGTTAAATTTTTTTATGTACAGATGGAAGTCCGCCTTATAAAGTATTTAGCCAATGATACTAAATATATGTATGTATGGTAGATTGCCCACGGCTGAAATGTCCTTTAGCTCTGTTGTTTGCGGTCCTATCTATTCCAAAGTATTTCCTAGGCGACAAGTTGCTATGACAACAGTTTGAAGAATCTAGATCTAAAAACCAAAAAGATTTATAGACGTGAATTTTCTTGACTGGATCTGAATTAGGCAATAATGTGCAGAAAGGTTCTTTGACCGCGTAGTCTGTTTGTTAATAAGTATGATTTTATGCCTCTTACTGTTGCTAATCAATATTACAAATCGATAATAAATGCATCAACGATCTGACTAGATGTTTGTAAGCTCGGTTTAAAAGAAACGATTTCTTACTCAGTAACCGAGTTATCCTTTTACAAATATATACGATAAAAACTCTCGAGACGTAAGCCCTCATTCGTAGCGAGTTTAGACGATTAAAGAATACATTTGCCTTTCAATTTACCGAGCCCGCTATCTCATGTTTGGAACCGGGCCGAAGGCGAATCGAGATATAATAACTCAATCGGTTTGTTAGCGTCGCACTATCGGACGTAAGGGAATTGAGTCGGGTGAAATAATTTCGATCATTTGTATCGTCGGCGAAAGGGCTTCGACCGCACGGGAAACTCGCGTCGGTGAATTAGAAAACGCCTTTAGGAAATTACACGAGCGGAAAGATGTCGACGCTGCGACCGTTTCGCCACGCATCGGCGCTCGTCAGACAATTGCGCACTGAATAGTTGCCTTGGTGATGAGCTTGGCGTGTGAATGTTCCTCCCTCAAGGTTACAACGTCGGCAGTTTCTTTTAGGATTTCGTTTAGATGTTATTTCTTATCAATTTAACGCGCAATAACCCTTAGGATTAGAACTTTTATGAGATTTTTTGCGTTTTACAATTATATGGCGTTGGAAGGCCTCCCTCTAGGTGGACCGACGACATCATAAGAGTCGCGGGCAACCGGTGGATTTAAATGGCCAAGTGTCGTTCGTTGTGGCGTTCTAAGGGGGAGGCCTATGTTTAACAGTGGACGTCTTGCGGCTGATGATGATGATGACAATTATATATAGAACTAATTATTATTGGAGGTCAATAGAAGGTGAATTAATTTTGACATGTTGTTGCACAGCTGAAAGCTAACAACGGTTTAACGTTTTTCTTTTCAACACAACAAAAAATAATTGCTCCGTGTTTTTTTTTTGCGAAAACGTTTTTTTTACCTGTCCCGGCATAATTCGGCGTACGTCCACGTCGGCAATTGCATGTGCAGCGCTTATTTCGCGTCGACGATCGCGTTCACGTCCCATCGGTCAGCATCTCCGTGCTCGTATAACGCGGCTTCGTTACATCCAGGGGTTCGCCGTTTTCGCAAACGAACTTGCCTTAAACAGAGTGCATAATAGTGTCCCGACAATGCCGTCTTAGGCCATATGCGGGCCCTAAAACACACAAAAATATAGGGGCTTTGATGGAAAGCAAAAGAAGTGAATGAATAAAACTTTTCTGCCATTATCATATATTTTTTATTTATTCTGGAATATATCTACCAAAAATAGAGAAAAATTTGTATAGTTTAAGCATACGTAGGCCATGCGTGGCCCCCCTGACGACAGGGGCTCTGGGCACGGGCATCGTGTGCCCTTGTTGTAAAGACGGTATTGGGTCTCTCGTTCCCGGCTCGGGGTGGTTTCTATCGCGATCAGCTGACGTGATTCACCGATCGGGCGTGCGGCAAAAAGGCCGCCGTGTTTTCAGAAACGGAACGTTTTACCCGTTCTCGGAAGTTCGTTGCGCCGATCAGCTGAGTCAACAGCCTTTTATTTTTCCCCCCCGCCCACCGGCTCCGGGGCCGGCGACAATAAGTTTTCCGACAATGTTGCGCAACGCGGTTGTTTTGAATTGCGCTCACGTAAACGCGTCTTGCGTTTGCTCCGGCCTGCCGTTTGGCGAGATCTATAATTTTTATCGGTTTCGGCGGGCGCACAAATCCCACCGTGTCGCCGATGGTGCGTCGCTCTCGAATGTGGAATAATCAAGGATGGAAGTTCATCTCGACGCCGCGGCGAACGGACAGTCTGGTCTCGTCTATTCCCAAGCCGCGGTACACGGTGGACAAACGCCAATTTGAATAAAACATACACATTAATCAGCTGACTTAATCGTTTAGCATTTGGCCGGTGTCAGGCGCGCGAGTATTTTTTTTTCCTCGTGCTAGTATCGCGATGCGACCAGTCCAAACCTGTCCGCCGCTTTGACCAGCCTTCACCCCGAGTCCACCCCGAGATCAGCTGGTCGCTCTGCATAAATACTACCGCTGCATATGATTCAATCTCGCCTGTCATCGGCCACGCTCGAGAATAATCTCAAATTCGGTTTTTGTCGATGCCACGCCATGTTTATTGACCCGTGCGATGTCTGTCTTCGTCTTGGCAATAGTTTGCGTCGCGTTCGTTTTTTTCTTCTCTCTCGCTTTTTTTTTCAATATTACTATACAATAACATGTAATGACTTTAAGCTTCTTGTGTTTTTTTTTTCTCGCGTGCCTTTTATTTCCAGTCTCGTATCTATTTTATCATCGTTTATTAGCACGTTCGCTGTTGTAATTTAATTGGATAAGTGCAAGTAATAATTTATGAATAGTGAATTTTCGCTATCGCTACTTGCATCTGTCGAATTGAAAGCATTTGGTCGAATGTGAGACATCATAGCAGAGCTATTGTTAATATTATTAACAGGTGAAGGTGTGAGCGCTGTTGGAAAGTGGGTTAGAGACAAAAGCACTTGGGAAGCATCGAAGCGTTCAGTGCTACAATAGTTGGAAAACCATTGCATTACGTGTGCACTTAAATTATTTTAAAGACTGTTAAAAGTACCTACACTTTGCTTTGATCGGGGGCAAATTAAAACTTTATTTCTTACATTCACTCAGTGAATAATTAGTAACATTATAATATTCTATAATATGACAACGGTAATAACACTTGACAGAATCATTTGTGATTTGTTACATTAGGACAAGAGTTGAAATAAATGTGGTTTGCTCTAGTTCCTCTTGCTTTTTGGCGTTTTCATTAATTATGAACAGTTATAGTATGGATCCGTTAGAATATGAGTACATTTTTATAAACAAAAAAACAAAACCTAATTTGAATAAGTGAGTTACATTTACAATTTCCATTTGATTTTGCGGAGTTCCCTGGCGACTCTCCGGAGTTCAAGGTTTAATTAATATAAGGTCACATGGAATCGCCCAACCCAATGCAAAAATAATTGTTATAATCGGTATGCAGTTCACAATTGAGAAACTCTTTAGAAGTCGGTTGAGAATGAACAAACCTCCTTTTAGAAGTCGGTTAATCATGGGCAAGGAGCTGTTTCGTTTTAGCTAACATGTGGAACTACAGCGTAACGACGGTACAATTATTTATAGGTGACTTAGCAGCCGCACGTGAGCTTTTACGGGCCGCACTTGTGTTTGCGCGCTAAAGTCAACAGAGCGGGCCTCAATGAGGCCCCCGCGGTAGTAAGGATCGTGGGCAAAGCGATCGAATGGCTTCCAAAATAGTACAATAGTTTTTTCAATATTCCAAATCGAATTATAAGCCTCGATCTGGTCAGAAACTGTACCGAATCTGAGATACTTGATCAGAGAATTAAAAAAGGGGTGGTATTACAAAATCTTTTACTTTAACACCTAATACTGTTTAGTTTTGCGTCACAATGACTGTATGTTTATAGTTGAGTTAAACTATATACTTAGGGCGTAGCGCCATCTACTGTTTTTTATGCGAATAGTTGTCAAGCAAGCAGGCGTTTCAGCTGATGTTGAGTTAATACCGCCGCCCATGGACATCTACACCCGAGAGTTGCAGATGCGTTGACAACCTTTTGAAAATTGGGCTCCTCACTCACCAGACTAAACGCGAAAGTATTATACTTTTTTTTTATATTATACTTTTTTTATTACCACTTTACGCCGGTCTTCTGTGAGGTTGTGGTACCTACCCGGACGAGCCTGCCCACTCGTGAAATAGCAGAGGCTGCTGCGTGGCCCTACCACCGGAAAAAGGCTTTTGAAACTAATCAGCAGTAAAATTATATTAAAACGCGTAAGAAACGCTGAAGGTTTGGAGTAAATATCTTCCGTAGTTATTGCAAGCGATGTTTCGATTGTTGTGGTTAGACAACATTCTGTCTGGGAAATACATTAATAGGGGACTTTATGTGCAATAGAAAGGTTCGTCGATTTGTGTTCTGTAATTTTCCAATGTGACACCATACGTGCACGTTAATACGAAGGGATCTTATCGCACCGACACCGTCGGGCGTACTGCGTCGTGCTCCACATCATTTGTTACTAGATACGGCACCGATGTGACATCGTGATCGATTAGGTTTGTGTCTGGTTGTACCGCATTCGGCGCTGTAGAACCGGACGAGCTCGGGAAGTCATCGGGCTTCATGTGTAATTATTGTCAAACCCCCCCCCCCCCCACCCCTCAACAGCTTATTCAACTGTTTTGACACCTGAGACGCGGCATAAATCAGTTGTAAACGTGACGTACGCAGTTTGGCGCTCTTGTCAATAGCGCTTCAACTCGTCTGACGTCTTCCACTCACGGTCTCGCTAAGAGCTTTGACAGATCTAGTGCTCTCCGCGACAGGGTATATCAATGTGGTTATATCACTCATAGGATAGAATTAAGACAGTGGACATTGACTTTCATAGTTAATCCGACAAAAAGCAAAAGTATCATTGCTTTGCAATTCTTATGTATGGTCGGTCCGATGTGTTTTTCCTCATCAGCTGGAGTAGATGCGAGGGTTTACCGCGGTTAAATACATTCGATTGCAGGAAACAAAACACTATTTACAGTTATGAAATCAACGATGAAACGTCAGTTTTTTTTTTGTCTGTACCGTTGTCAGCGCAGTCTCTGTTTACCGATATAAATGTTTCGAAGGTACAAAAAAAAAATGCACGCATATAGTTTTTTTATTTAAATTATCTTCGAATAACAGTCGCAATGGCACCGTCCCGCTCCGTTATTAGTCGATAGCGTCACCGCATTTTATTGTTATTATCTATAAGAATAGCATTTCCTCGCAGCGAGGCGTCTGCTACGAGTTGCGAGCTCGGCCGAGCTTGCAGCCGCGCCACTGGTTCAATGCACCCGCGAATTATCGATATTTCTGAATACCTAACGCCCGTGACCATGATGGAACCATTTGATTATTCCGCATGCAGCGCCGGCGATGTTTTTATGTTTCGCCAAAGCTCGATTACATATTCCAATTAACCGAAGCCGTAGACGAGACGGATGCGTACCGAGGACGCGGATCTTAGTTTTGTTGTTATTACTTATTGTTGTATATTTTCTAAGAAAGAAATGAAATTATTGCGATCGTTCCACAATATTATGTACGGTTTTGTGATAAATATAGTTATCGTTTTCAATTTTATGTCGTGTAGTTTTACTCAATATTCTTGATAATAACAATATTGAAATGTGATTATTTTAATACACAAGCAGACGTGAAACATTTATGCTTTAGTTGTTTTTAAAATGTAGGTTTTGTTAGCGTCGGAAGTGTCCAATATTCTTATTGCGAATGCGGCATAAATTCGCCTGTTTACACGTTTCAACCCGACATTCGACATTAGAAATAAACGTGGGCGGTTACCCCGAATGCAATTCGGTCGTTTCATCAAATAAGCCAGACAATTCTACGGGGTCAATGAACTCTAATTGGGTCCACGCTGTATTTTCCGTTTTCCACGTCGCTTGTACGCCCCCTCTACTATTGAAAACAGCTGTGGGACCAAGTTACTAAACTATGTTTCCCTTTAAATTTACAGTTACAGCGGAGACTTCTAAATTGAGGCTTTTAATACTGACCTTCATTGTTAACACTCTTTTTTTTAATACTGACAGTCCTCTGTTAACACTCTTTTGGAGTTTTTTTTATGAACGCAATACAGGCCCTTTTCGCCGAGATGAGAAATCTTTATTCGCGTTTGGAAACTTATGGTGCTGCCTTCGATTAGAGGACTCTACGGCAAACTGGCCGCGTCGTAAAATTGTGATAAATATGCGGCAGGGCGGATTTTGTTTATATTTTTCTTTTTATTTCCTCGCACACAAATGTCGTCGTTGTCTTTGGGTTCGACGACAAAAAGTTTCCCAAATCCGATGTTCTCACAAGAAAAAGGAACAAGATAAATGTACTTCGTTTTCAAATTAATTTACCGCTCTCCCTTTATGGTAATTGGACGCCTTGGTTCATTATTACTCCAGTAGAGGTCTTCTATACCTTAAATATACTGTTCTCACTCAAGGGTTACGAACCTTTCTATTTAAGGAAAATCTCTCTAACGGTAACTCATATTTCCCTTTTAACTCTACGCGCCATTTTATGTTAGTCTCACGCGTATTACGATACTACTAGTTATGTATCTATTTCGTGCGCATGTCATAGATCATAGATTATTGTTATGTTTAACTGATTAAATGGCTAATTATTGTACATTATTGTGTCGACCTTGACATCGTTTATACCCCGAGCCCAATTTGTACGATTACACGGAGGATGTTGTGTGTAATGACAATTTTTTCCGAGTGATTTCTGTTACCAGCCGCGATAAACACACAAGTTAAGTACGATACATACAAGTTTAGTTTCGATATCGTCGATTGTTAACTGTTACGTGAAATTGCAATGAAAATTAAAGAATGATTTAATGACTTAACTATACGTATTTAACTCAAAAAAGCTTCTGCTCTAAGATTAGACTTGTTCGATCTGGTATGTTTAATGGCTTTACCAGGGTGTAGTAAAAGTAACTTTGGTCTAAACTTACAATTATTGGTATTACGCCTGTAACAAACACCTCTGGTATTGATTTTGTCTATGGGCGACTTGGCTTACTTGCTTTTATCTTTTATTGTAAAAAATATCTGAGCTATATGTCTTTTTGTTATTTTAGTTATGTTACATAACTACACTTGTTATATTGGCACGTCTATCAAAGTCAATAAAAGTTCATGCTGATTAGTTTCTAGAACTTTACATGAGTAGTAGTTTAGATTTTCGTCGGTATGGCAATCAGCCACTTAGTGGCTAAAGCGTCAGGCTGCGAATACCGAAGACGTGGGTTCGATTCCCACAGAGGCGACAGTCTTTTCGTACTTTTTCTACAAATTTATTGTTTAATCTTAAGTGCAGAGATTAGTACTATAGAAAAACGATATAAAAAGTTTATTTAACATAATAATTTTTTAACATTTCTTGTATTGTGCTAACAGAAGTATAATAAACGGTTAAGGTTCGGACCTACCTTCGTCCGTGTAGATCTA